CAGTGTAAATGTGGCAGATCACATGTTTAAAGAACATAAGTACTGTATATTTATATTTATTTATTTATTTGAAAATCAACAGCAAATCATGCTGCCATTTTGTACAACGACAAAAAACATTATAAAACAGAATTTAATATTAAAGAAATCCAACAATGCGGTACTAATCTTAAAGCGGTATATTAGCCGCCGAAATATTTAAGGATTATTAGTAAAATGTATCGAGATGCCCTGCATAAAGTACTAAGGGATTGATTAGAGGAGATTATATAATGGCTCAACTCTTTGCTGCACACACTTCCATGCATACGGAGTATATGGGAATCGGCCTGCATTTCCGGCCATAACACAACTGTGACATTTCAAGTAGGCCCTAGACTTTATGAAGTAAAACGGGGCAGTTGTGTAACACTTAAGTATCAGAATACATTATACACAATAATTGGCTTCAGCTTCTCCAATGGTGGGGCACTTAGGGGGATAACATTATAACATAGCGGGCTGGCCAGTGCGGCAGTTTTTTTTTTTTGAGCCCTCTCCAAATTTAGGTCGTAGTTCAGCGGCGAGTCGCAAACGTACCAGCCGTAATCAGGGATAAGCTGTAATGATATTTTCTGGCAAAACCGTTAATTAATTTTGATTTTAAATCGATTAATTTTACAATTTTCCATTGAAGATTTTGAAGTGCTTTTTACTTACTATTAAAACTGTGCTTAAAGTGGGGGTGGATAAAGGGTATATAAGAATTCCATCCATGTTGTTATTTCATTCGTCAATTAAACATTCGTCTTTTCTTATAATTTTTGTTTTTGTGAATTGAGGAGTTGAACCCATTGGACTTCTGAGAAGAGGTTGCCTTCAATGCTATAGTTCTTCAAATTATATCTTAAATTATATATAGATATTAAATTAGAATTAAATCAGAATACGACTCCTTAATACACATATCCGTCTGTCCGTTGACATCTAGTGCTATATGTAGCTCCAAACTAGTTTCAAATAGAAATCTGAGTCAGTGCTTAGTGTATGTCACATGATGCGGGAACTGGCTTGTTGTTGTGGCCTGTGGCCATTTCGTTTGAGCTTCATTAGCCGGTTAGTGGCTAAAAGCAAATCTTGTTCGTCTAGTTTTCCCCTTCATTCATTTTTATGTTGGTTTTTATGCATCGCACTTTTAAATCGCCATTTTCTGCGACTGAAAAATTTAATTCAAAACAGATTTGCGGCATCCATTTAAGAATCCATTGTATTTTTTAAGTTGTATTTCGTTACGGGTGTTTTTTAGGAGCTTTGTGGCTATCGTTGGCAGCCAACTTATGCAGCTGGCTCTGAAGCTTAAAGGCTTACTCGTTTAGATATTAGTTGTGCGGTTGATCAACGCGCAGTTGTCGCCTAAAGTTTAGTTTTGCGAACTCCGAAAAGCTTCAGAAAGTTGGTCGGGCGCATACACACATGAGAACATGCATGTCCTCTACATCAATCACACACACAGCTCACAAACAAACACACACACACACACACATACACCGCTTCATGCAAAGTTTTCCCTTTTTTGAGTTTTATTTTACTCTTTTGCAGAGCGGTGGAGGCATGTGCCGTTCATTAATTAGCATGTGGCCACACCCTAGAATACTCGCATGTACGTGTGCGTGTGTGAAAAGTTAAATGAAATCAGTTTAAAATTATATTAAATAAACGGAGAGCGTTTGCCTTTTTTGTTCTTGTCGAGCGTTTAAGGGTCGGCTGACCCTAAAAGCAGGCAGCACAATTTTTTTCAAAAACATTAAATAAACGCCTGCGGGCCACAAACAACTTATGGTGTCGGGCAAAAACACACAAAAATCAAGCGGCATCAACGCAGACAACAACAAAGGGGACAACACACAGCTACAAGAAAAATGTCGCCTTGTGCAAATAAACATTTAAATCGAAATAATTTTGCTCAGCGCCGAGCATGATGGCACGAAAAGCCAACTTTCTGCCGGTTGGAGCCGCAGAGACATCATGGAGAAGGGGAACGGGACGGAGACTATGGGGACGGAGAAGTCGCCTTTGAGTAGCGCACTCAATGCGTCAGCTATGAACTAATTTGCTTTACTGCTCCCGGCGCTCAATACACACCCCTCATGTATATGCATCCATATACCCACATACATACATATATACGAGCCTATCTGGTAATATAAAGACATGCCAGAGCGCAGTTAGAGGGCAGGGCATAAACATGTATTATTCATGTAGCCGCAGTGAAAGTCGACGACTACGACGCCTGACTTGCCAGCAGCAAGCAAACACCCTCGAACCCTCGATCCCTCGATTCCACGTAGCTCCCTTCCCATGAGCTTATTTAGCGATGCGTTGGCGTGCGTAGACTTTTAAAAGTGCCCCCGCATTGAGTGTTGGGTAGAACATGGACTGGCTCCACAGCTTATAATGACTAATACGTCCCTACATATAAGTATATACAAACATACATTTACACTCATCAATTTGGATGTCTCCAATAGCGGACATTTTAAACGCGGGCGCCTCTCCGCTGGTCATTTTGTGAAATGGCTAAGAAAGCTGCGAGACTAAGGTTTTCAGCTTCATGACTTAGATGGCATTTCATAAATTATGTAAATATAATGTAAAATCAACTCCAGAACTGGGGAATTTAACAAATTTCGATTTAAATTAATAATATTTTTAAATTATATTATAACTAGGCATTACCTAAAATTCATAAATACTATGCTTATTTTTGTTGCTTTTTCACTGAAGGTCTTATACTTGTAGAATCTGAACATAATATTGACATAGTTTGTGATTAGCGTGATTTGCGTATGTGTGTATAACAACTGTAAGCAAGCTTTGTGTCCCTAGCTCTTAACTTTTAAAAGATATCGATGCTCAAATGGGCTGATACATCCAGACTTTTTAGCTTACCCTTTCATCTCTCGGATGCAAGGTGAACAAATAACTTAAACCTAAATAGATAGAAAGACCATCACTAAGACATTTATGGATATAAGTCATTATGAATATTGTTAATGCTTAATTGTGTTATAGGAATCTAAATCTTAATTTATGATGTTAATAGAACTTAATAGTTTAAGCGACTTAGCGACACAATCGAATTTGTTGTAATTTATACTATATCGGGAAATAGTACACGTTCGATTTGGCATTTTATGGCAATAAAGACAAGATAGAGAAATAGTCAAAAGTGTATGTTAATTTTAGGAACGAGTGTCAGCTTCACATTCTAGTCCTATCTACTAGTTATTGCCGGCATGCAAGTCTGTGAGTCAAATGTGTGTAAAGGGTTTGCTGCAACTCCAGCTGCAGTTGTCCCGCTCTCAGTCCAAGGGGTGGGCAGGCGGATCGCACTGCGTGACCGCCATTTTCTTTCTGCTCACATCTGTGCCACTTCACTTTGTGGCTTTCGTTCTGAAAGTGGCACTGGTGCGCGCTTTTAGTTCTCCATTGTACATCTTCTCCAGCGCAGACGTGCACGCCGTTCTCGCAGCTCGTTTCCTCAAATGGCCGAGTTCGTGTGTGCCTTTGTACGTAAGTGCGTGCGTGCGTGCGTGCGTGCGTGCGTGCGTGCGTGCGTGAGTGCGGTGGCTTTGATGAATGTATAAGGTCTGCTTTGTGTGGCGTAGGTAAGTGTGCCGGCGGTTCATCGTCTTCCTGTGCTACCTGATAATTAATTAAATGATTTATTAAATGTGCACTTTATGCATCCATGCACACATACACGCGCACACATCGTCTGTCATTGCCATAAATGGTGATGGCATATTACTCATACGCACCGTTACATGAGAGTGTGTGTGAGCGTGTGTCTGGACAGGCACATTGTCTTCTAGTTATATATTTTGTATTTTTTTTATTTCGCCGTGCTTAACGCACTAAGCTTGACAAGTGCTCGTCATCAATCTGTGGCGCTGGCGTTGCGTCCCACTCGAGCCGCAGTCGAGCGCATCGCACACCGTCCAGCTGAGCTGAGCTGAGCTGAGTTGAGTTGAGTTAAGCTGCTATAAGTCACTTTCATCTTCTCTAAGTCACTTGAGTGCCTTAGCTCTGCTCACCTGAATTGGTCCATACTGCTACACCTGATAGCTATTTCCCATTAACAACGGCAACAGGGTGGGACAGTTAATAGCCTTCGCCAAAGAGGCCGTTAATAGTTGCCCAACTCATGTGTAATAGATACTAGCCTTACTTACCTTATGACTACTTGTATAACAGAGCTTAGCTACACTTATGTGTAGGACTGGCCCTTAAACAATTATTTATATATGGCAGAGGCTTGTTTGTAGGCCAATAAACCATTATATTACTATAATTCTTATTCAGCACGACGAGACCAATCCATATATTTAGATAGATATCGATAGATAAGAGATATTCAAATTGACTTCTACAGGTAATTTGTTCATTTCGTTTCTTTACTTTTATATCATGATTTGTTTGAGAAAGGTTCGAAAATCAAAATTATTCGTAAAATTAAGGCCCTAAGTTCTCAGATTTCAAAAACATATAGTAAATGTCGTTATAAAATAATTAGAAGAAAATGTGAAACTACAAGTATGATAACAGTTGTGTATATTATGCCTTTTTTATTGGTATTTATTTTGTATTAATAGTTATGCTAAGATCGGAGCTGCTCCTCACATAGAAGGGCGATTATGGTATACGAAATTGTATATATACTGCGAGCATATCTGAAGTATTATATTTGAGTATCTTACAGCAAAAGCGTCAAAAGCTTCTTTTTTGAATATAAAAAGGCGGCCATGGCCATGGAGTTTCTTCCAATTAAAGGATAATAATGAATTGCTTAGCCAAGCAAGTTAAAAGCCCTAGACACTTCTGTTGATAGCAAGAATTTAATGCCTGTCTGAATAACAGTAATATGGTGAACAATTAAAAAAAAATGAAAAAATGTAACGTTAAATAGTTTCAGACTTGGTTGAACTAATTATTGTATTCTCTTCTGATTTATTTCACAGTCACTGAAAAGGAAATACGGCAATGGTAAGCTGTTTACTCTAATACTAGACTGCGTGCTCTTTGTTTATGTTTTTAGAACTCTTTTATGTTCATGTTTTCAACATTTTATTTTTGGTGTATTTGTAAGAAAGAGAATGCACACGCGCACCTCAATTATTCTTGTGCAACTTATATACATGTGTACATATTTTTATGTAGTACTTATATGCCTACATACACACGTACACGAATAAAATATACTTGTATCCTCACCATCATGCTTGCACATCAATGCTGACATAAAATAACATGTATTCGTACATTTAATTACACTCTGTGTGGCAATTACGCAATTTTAATTAGCATCAACAATGCACAGTAACTTTGCCATTCATTCAAATTAAGACACAAAACACACACAACATACTTGTATGTATACGAGTATGTGCCCATACATATACAAGTATATATGTATGTGTTCACACTTCCCTCTGCAAAATAAAATATGTACATACTACATTTTTTTTGTTTAACTTACGCGTATTCGTGTTGTTCATGCTTCTCTTTTTGTTGATTGTTGTTTTTTGCGGTTGTGCTGTTTCTTATTTTGCTCGACCGTGTACAAGTATATTGTATTTATAAGTGTATATATTTTTTGCATCCCCATGTCGCTTCATATCTACTTACTATATACAACTGACTCTCGTACCTACATACTTATATGTACATATGTATGTATGTATGTATTTTTGGTAATCTTGCAATGCGCCCGTCCCTTTCTCACTCACTATCTTTTCATCTCTCTCTCCCTTTCTCTCTCTGTACTCTTCACTGAACTGAACTGAACTCAACTGAACTGACCTGTGCTATCCAACCTCTGTAATTTCGATAAACTGTGACTGATGGCCCAAATAAAAACAACAACAATACACACACAAACACGTACACACACATCTACACTGCTCATACAAAGGCACAAAGGTTTTCTTAAAGACTGTCCGAATGGCTTGCTGACTGAACAAGTAAGTACAAATTTGAAAATCAAATACATACAACATATTTTTGCAAATCTCTTATTCTCTTCTTCTTGTCTTTGTTACGCATTTACTGCCCCAAAACACACAATGCACACATACACATAAACTGTACATGTATGTGTGTGTGTGTGTTTATGTTTGTGGGGATGCCTATCCATCCCTTGACACAAAGTTGCAACCGCAACAAAATCCTATTATAAACTAAAACCATAACAAGCTTTGAGCGTCATTCTCGACTTGTTTGTCTGTTTGTTTGTCTGTTTGTTTGTTTCTTCCTCCCCTCCGCCCATTTAAAATGTTGTTTAACCAAACTCGGCGATAACAAAACCCAAAACTATTTACAGCTACAACTACTTAATGCATTTCGGCTTATGTTTATTTTTATATTTCGGTTTTATATTTTATGATTCGTGCTCTTTGTTCTCTCTCTCTCTCTCTCTCTCTCTCTCGCTCTTTGCTCGTCATTGTCGTGACTGCAGTTGTCACATCCTTTGGTTTTATTGTTGTTGCTGTTGTTGTGCCAAACTGTCACTCCCTCATCAAGTTGGGGTATTTTCGATGATGTGCCAAACATGGCTAAATTTACATTTGTTGTTTTAGTAATCGTTCTTTATCCCATCTATTTATTTTTAATTGTGGCAAGTGTGTCTGTGAAGGGATACTACATACATATATACACAAATATTATAAAGTCTTGGGGAATCTAACAGGCAGGTGGAGGTATATATAACGAGGCGTATCGATATATGTACATATGTAGCCCTGTCCTGATAAATGGAATGGAATGATATCTGTTAATCCCGAACTAGACATGTACATAGATATACTTGTACATATATACAAGTATATATATATTTTGGATTAGCAGAGTGTTTCGGAATAAATGATAGTTCTAATTAAAATACGTACCTGCAAAGTTTTGTTCTATTTTTAGGAAATAAACACATTTCTTGAGTTTTAAAAATTGTGTTAAACATTAATAATACGACACAGATATTGTTAAAAATAAAAATAAAAACGATGGGAACATTAAAGTCATGCCAGTCTTCTATCTACCCTTTCTCTGCTACTGCCTTTCAAGCAAAATATGCTTCTTTTATCAATCATTCTATTAGTACAAATATATGTTATATAGTAGTTAAAAAATGTTGAGGAACTTCATAACTCTCACTCGTACATAAATACTTATTTTGCCTAAGGTTTTTTTATAGGCAATATGTATTTTACGAACAGTTATCGGTCCTAGGGCAACTGTTTATAACACTAGGGCTATAAGTGGTTTGATATATACTTGAGCTGCTTATGGATAAATTAAGTGCCCCTATCTAAGAGTTAAAGAGTTCTTTGGGTTCATATGGATGTGGATATGGACACGTCTATTAGAGCTGCAAAATAAGATCATTACTATCCTCACTTTCAAGTAGTCATGTGCTAGTTCAATTCTGCATTTAACTTCATATCGGAATCAATCCTGCTACTACGTCTGCCTTTTAAATACATAATATACATATATTCGGAGTTTGGAGTTCTAAGCAAAGTCTTAGCGTCCGTTTTACAATTTTTTATTTCATATAGCGCTTTTTCATGGAACATTTCCCTTTCTCTCCCCCTTTCTCTGACTCGCCCACCAAATATATAATTTTCATAGCGAAATTATAATATTTTCATCCGATAGCTGCAAAATTCGAGGCTTCTGAATATATTTATTAAAGCTGGCTTTTCGATGCTTTTTTTCATTGCTTTTCGACCAAGCAACGGCTATTTAAGGCTATCAGTATCAGCTGCTGTTATGCATATCCTTGCTGTTCATACAAGTTTGAGTATGCTTTTGTGTGTAGGGATCGACTAATGGGGCCTCTGAACTAATGTAAGCAATTAAATGCAGTTTTAAGTTATGGTTTGAGCCTGCTCTGTTTATTGAGCCTGCTCTGTTTATTGAGCTTGCCAAATACGAGTCCGCATAAGAGCTGCACATTGGGAAAGCCTTTCTATGTATACTATATATATTTCTTGTCCTATTCTGTTTTCCACTTGTTTGATAAACCAATAAAACGAGCGAAATATTCGGCTGTAAGTAGTAGCAGCAATTTTTTAAGTAAATGCGTTGATGACTAATATGTATATAACACAAACCTGTAAGTTCTGTCTTTTGCTTTATTCCTCTACAATCTCCAACTTGTACTTGTTCTACTAACAAATGCAGGGCTTCATCAAAATATACAAACAATTTTTCCCGGAAGGAGATCCCAGCAAGTTTGCTTCGCTGGTATTTCGCGTCTTTGATGAAAATAATGTGAGTATATATAAAATTTTGTTTCCACAAAAACATGCAAGCATTTATGCCTTTTTCTTACCGGCAGGATGGCGCTATTGAGTTTGAGGAGTTTATTCGCGCGCTCTCCATAACATCACGTGGAAATTTGGATGAAAAATTGCATTGTAAGTTCGAGTGCTTAAATACTTTCCGATTATAAAATACATTCATTTACCTGCAGGGGCTTTTCGTCTCTACGATGTGGATAACGATGGCTATATCACACGGGAGGAGATGTACAATATTGTGGATGCCATATATCAAATGGTGGTATGCAGAATATATTGAAATAAATCAAGTTCACTGAAGGTTTAGATCCTAAACTTGTCATCTCTTCCACAGGGTCAACAGCCACAAACGGAGGATGAGAACACGCCACAGAAGCGTGTGGATAAAATTTTCGATCAAATGGATAAGAATCACGATGATCGACTGACTTTGGAAGAGTTTCGTGAGGGTAGTAAAGCTGATCCACGTATAGTGCAGGCGTTAAGTTTAGGTGGTGATTAACCGCAAGATTTGTAGTTGCGTTGAATTTGTTGTAGGGCTGCAAATGGATTATGGGAGCTGCAGAGGACGGCAATAAACATACAACGAATTCGCGCACAGAAGTTATTTTAAAATAATCGAATAGCACACACACACACACACACACACAAACAAACACACACACGCAGACATAAACACATACACACACAAATACACCTGTACTATATGCCATATGGCTTAGAGGCCGTTTGCTTTTTTAAAAGATTATTAACGTCTTAGTCGCCAAAACCAAAAAAGAAGCAAATGCTACCGCCAAAAGCAACCAGCAAGAAATTCAAAAAGAAAAAAAAATAAAAAAATTGGCGAACAAAAATGAAATTCCAACTAAAAGCGAATTATATAGTTTATGTATTTGTACATGCAAACATACGACTATAGTCGCGCAATATATAGTTATTTCTGGGAAGCCAAATTTATTGTTATTCGAAAAATAAATATTACTAAAAACAAAAACAAAACAAAAGCCAAAAAGGGCAACCGCAAGCCATATTGCAAATTTGAAAAAGAAACACCAATTGAAACGCTTTTCTAAAATTATACAGTGTGTAATTTAAACACTAAGCTAATTGCCTAAATAAACAAACAATATATACAATATGATTATATGTCTATAAAAAAAAACAAATTATTATAATAAATAAATGATATATTTATGCATATATCGATGTGTATATTTATATGATTTATTTATTTATACAAGTATATTAGGCATTTATGGTGTGCATTGAGAGGGCATTTTTATTGAAATGCTTACCAAAAATAGTAATAATAATATTTAAAAAAGTAAAAGGAAGAAACACACAAAACTAAGAATCGTAGTGGAACGTATATAGTAAAGAAAAGATAAGCAAAAGGTAAATGTAAAATGATCAGAAACTTATATGAAATTTATAGTTGGAATTTTTTGCATAAATTACAAATAAAATTAAGGCAACTAATTAATAGGCGAACGCCGTGAAAAACAGAAAGTAGAGTTGAGCAGCTAGTTACTGCTCACACACATACATACATATACATATACATACAAATGTGAGAAACCAACCATTACTTCGTTTGTGCATATGGCCTCCAAAGCACTTGCAAAATATAGACGCTTCTCAATTGATTGTTTTGCCTTCTTGCTGAGCAAAACGTACGAATAACTGTTGATAATCGAACTTGTTGATAATCTAACTAACTAACTAACTAACTATTTAACTAGCTAATTGCTCATATTGCTAATACAATATACATACATACAATATATTTTACAAATACTCTGATTTTAAACAATTGCCGAAGCGCATGAAAAGCCAAGCAAAACAAACACAAATATCACATAAAATTATATTATATTATATGTGAGTATTGAGTTTTATACATATATAGCTCAAAGCTAGGATAACCAATCAATCACAGAGTATTGCTTCCTGCATGCTGCACGTTTTGCTCTCCCATACTTTTATATACGAACTCCATGTGTGTGTGCCCAAATACTTGTATATAGTATACAATTATACCTATATACTTACAATACCCTTATTACTCTCAAGCCCAACCTTAAGCAAAAATCTGTTGGTTGTTGCTGGTATCACAAAGACTCTTCGAACCGTAGAAAACCAATAACTGATTACTCTTTCCCTTTCTCTTAAAAAGTGTGGCACATTTCCATTGAGCACAATATCAGTAAAACTCGGATGGGTGTTAAGGTTTCACAGCCTCTGAAATCTGGTAATAAGCATGGTATGTAAATATATGCTCTTATGTAAAAATTTTAATGGATTTTGCTGTATATCCAGTGGATAGAAAGTATCGGATCTTCAGCCACCTTTTCATCCGATTGTGTTTTGTAGAATGGCTTCTATCTTGTGCTAAATTCAATGAAAGCAACTGTAGGGCTTCCCTCAACATTAAAATTTATAAATTCCTAACAGATAGATAGTGAGAACAAACTGAATCATTCGTTAATAAAATGAATAAAATAAAAGCAATAAAAAAAGGTGCACGAGTCAAAAGTGAGCTGCTTAGCTTCTCCTCAAAATACATACACTTAAATCGGAGCTTCCAGATCGACGAAACAATACTCCAGCAATCCAGGTATATGGCCAATACAGGGAACGCGCTGTTATAAAAAGTGGCAGTGCAGATGCAGAATTGGAGAGAAACATGGAAACACTCCTAGTCTGTCTCTACTACCAAACAACTCTATATTGTACAGTAAGTGCCATTAATTGATTTTAGAAGTAAGCAGCTAATTATGCTGTTGCTATCTTCTTTGAAATTCAGTGATCTGCATATTGTTCCCTTAAAAAATTTTCTTGTTGAGAGCATTGCAATCGATCTGGAAACTTGGCTTTAAGATTTTTTTTTTTTACATACATATATAGTACTTATATACTTGTATGTAGTATATATATTGAGCTTGACTATTCGTTAAGCTAAGCAGTTCACTTGAAAAGGGTTCACCTTTTCCTTGAACGAATGAACTCCTTTGCACTCGGCACACACACATACTTGTATACCCCACCACTTTTTACCCACAAAGCTTCTGGAATAGGCTTTGTTAGCGTGAAAGCTCGTTTCAAATAGTTTTGGAATGTATAATATACATTTAAATATACAATTTTTGTACTTGTACTACCTTAACTACATATTTTCTGCATGCCTTACAACAATATCAACGTTTTTATATTCGATTTATTTTGGCAACTCTTATACTAATTATTTACTAATATCTACACAGATAGAGCTTGCTACTGTTAAACATAACCTCTTAGCTAAAACATTTTCTATAAGCAATCTATACAAAAGGCGATGCCCGACGGACTACAACATATATACAGATACATACATATATACATGTATAAGGAGCTAAGTATATGTACACACACTATCACCAATTTATAGCGTCGTTATCTGAATACACAATACTGACATTTCTCTACTATTCATACATATACATATGCGAATACTTCGAAGCCTCTTCTTTTGACTTTTTGATTTGGTTTCATCTGTTTTTCGGTTTTCTTTATTCTACTTATGCATTAAACTTAATCACCATGCTAAAATAATTACTATTTTATATGTGGTTCAGCTTTATTAAGCCAATAAATAAACAATATCCGTACCTATTTTAAATACAAGCCGAATGTGAACTCTAAACCGACAGCAAACATGACCTTTTTAAAAGGCAAACACTATGCTTTAGAACAACAACAACAACAACAACAAGTATTGCAAGAATTGTATGTTTATTTAAATAGCTGCTATTTAATCTTATTCTTGTACTCAACTCTACTTAAATATATATTTTTTCTATTTTTATTCTATTCACTTTTATCCTAAGTACTGAGCAAAAAACTACTTGCTTCGATGTGGCCTTCCTCTTTAGTTTAATTAGTGGTTTCAAGATTACATAACGTTTTTGAGAGCTTTTATACATACATACTACATACGTACTATATCAACAGCTTCTAATTGATATTCTTTTAATACATAAACGACTAAACGACTTGATAAATACGTTTATTTTGCGCCTATTTACTTATACAAAAGAATAAATAAGAATCCGTTGTAAATGGAACAAATCCAACTCAAACCAAATGTAAATGCAACTTGTTGCGATTGGAAAGCAATTAGCCAAACCATATATCAAATACTTGTATAACATAAGGAGTGAGTAAAATGCACAAACATACAACTGTTGCAGACGCTTCAAAATTTCTCAAATTAAATATCCTGAGCCAGCCTTTGGATAATAAAAGTGCCAGTGATACAGACCATTGGGCTCTTTACTGGCACCAAGTGTCCAAGTGAGACAAAACCTGGCCGATTGGCCAGCACCCTACAAACAGTCCAATGCCAGCCGCTGGAAAGATTCTGCTCGAGAAATGGGAACTCATGTCCAGTTCCCCGAAACAAGTATTATTAATTGGCACTTGCTATTGCTATTTTCATGAGATTTTGTGATTTGATTGCAACTGAATAAACTCAAGCAGTATGTTATAGCAATAATTAAAAAGGCAATACTAACATTTACGAGTCTGTTCGGGGCTTTTAATCGGCAATTGGTTTCTGCAGCACACAAGCAAAACGTAATTAAATAAAATATTGTACATATAAGTATGTTCGAATATGACTTTTTTTGTTCAACAATTGACTTGTAATTGTAGATTATCGATTAAATTTGACAACTGATTGTTCAGCTGGTAAATTGAATTAGGGTTTGTTAGTGAGAATAATAAATCGGAATATAATAAGGAGTGTTCTAAATTTCCGAACGAACTTCCTTTGAATTTCCTTCGAGTTTTGATCGAAATCTCATTGGAATCGAAGTGCCGAATACTATACTGTACACGTACTATATATGCATAGGTAATTCAAATGCGATTTCGCACGCATTGTTTGCATGCCTTTTAAGCTCCTCACCCAACGTTATTCTGCAAAATAAAGCAAAAATTAAATGATATCAATTTATGAACTATTATTATGTACTATTACTATTACCATTACTGTTATGTGGCCACAAAGCGGCGTTTTATTAATGAACAAGCGAACATGATTTTTATCATAATAAACGTTTACTTATACACACACATACAAGTATTCATACGAATAGATACATACTACTTATAATTATGAGTATTCGTATGGCGAAGGTATTTACAAGAAAACGAAAAACAAACTGCAGCAACAATCAATTTTTCACGCTTCTAACACTTAATGTTAATAACTAAATCAATAAAGTAGCAATTGTAAATACAAGGTAGCAGTAAGTGATATTGGAAAACAAAACGAGAAAGCAAAACCAGCAAAGCAAAACACACCGAACTAAATTAAATTTAAAAAAAAAATGCAAAACAAACAACAACAGAGGACACTTTTCGAAAGCTTAACAATTATGGTTAAAATATTGTATTAAAATCTTTTATGCAAAACAAAACTTATGAGTTTTTTTGAATGTTGCTTTATAACATACTCGTATGTGAGTTTTTTGAACAAAAAATGTAAAACCAATGTAAGCAATATTATTTTTTAGCATTAAAATGCATTAACTAGCAGTTTGCCTACTATGATTGATTAATTGTTTAATTGATTGATTGATTGTTTGATGACGAAAACAAAATAAAACAAACCATGCGTTGCTCCGCACACGACAGTTTAACTGAACGTTCATAAGAAAAACACTTTTGTGCTCCGCAAGAAAAGTGGAAAATGCAAATCGGCAAGTAAAAAATACTTAACATACATTTGAATATATATCAAGTTTTTTCGGATTTGTGCAATAATAAAAAAATACATTTTATTTCAACTCTTTGCCTAACAGTAAGCTTAATCCTTAGGAGCACACGCGCAGGAAGAGCGAGTTCAGAAACCCCTGATATATTTAGCGTGGCATATTCTACAATTAAGGACTTGAAGCCCTTGGGATTAAATATACACATATACTTATATACAAGTATTATGCAATTTTAGAAGCATACTTGTATAAAACTAACGCTCCTTTAGATAAGGGTAGAGGTAATATATTTTTTTCTATCCTCTTCTGATCTGTTGGGCTCTGAGTTGTATTGGAAATGCTACACAGCCCATGGAATTGAAATGAAAAG